GAGGGGCACCTGTCAGTTAAGGAGCTGGGTTTTAGTGTCTTCACTGCCACGTACTGTTAGTCAAATCATGTCACTCCTTCTGCCTCCATTTTCCCATCTGAAAAATGAGAAGGTAAAAAACACACACAACAGTGAGAGGTTAGGACTAGATGGCCTCTAATCTCATTTCCCGCTCTGGAAGCTTGTGACCCATAGACCTGTCCCATAGATCTTTGTATGTTACCTACATGTCCTCAGAAGGAATTGAAAACAAAGTTGGATAAGCACCAAACCCTTGAAGAAAGATGAAAGAATTCAGGCCTATTAATATTTGGGTATCTTTTGTAGAGTTAAATTCATTTCTAATCTAGAGAAAAGTCGGTGCAGCATTTTCTTTGATTACAAAATGAGTAGGCAGGCATCAAAGAAACAGTTTGTAATGTCAGGACTTAGAACCAATGTATTTGCTTGGCCTTGAGGTCCTTAAGTAGTGGTTCCCTCCGTAATCATACATATTTTTACGAAATTAACCTTTCCTTTGATACACCTGTTCCCCACATCAAGAACAGACTACATTTGATTATATGGGGTACTCAAATGGACTGGTTTCTCCTCCTGTGCTTCAAATCTAGGTCACCCTTTTGACATTCCTGAACTCTATTTACAAATGCCCCCTCCCTGCTAGAGAGCAACAGGGGCCTTTGCCTTTTAAGAGCAGCCTGTGGTAATTGACACAGCGGGAAGAGAAAGAGGTCACTGAGACAGAAACAATAACCACCGCTAATGCTGAGAAAGAAATAGGAGCTTCTCTACATTTATCTGCCCTTGGAAACCGAAATAACTCTTTACAAGAAAATGGGTGGGTGTTGCTGGGGGAGGGGAACTGGAGAGCTGGAAGAGATGTGGGTGAAAACCTTGTCAATACTCCCTTTCTTCTGTCACAATAATAGGGATTGTTCATTTATTCCAGAGAGCTGGGAATTGGGAGCAGGGAGAGAGAGAGAGTGGGGAAGAGTTTGGTTTGTAGACCTTGTTCTGGATAGACAGATGTTGGTCAAAGAGAGATGAGGTCTAGGTATTAAAAATGTTCACTTGCCATGACTGGGCCTTGAACCCAAGGTTAGTGATTCCTCCATAGTATTCTCTAGCATTTGTGTCATACTCTTCTTAAAGTGATTAAAAAATAATAATATATATATATATATATATATATATATATATATATATATATATATATATTATTGATTTCTCACAGAGAGTAAGGGAAAGGAATAGAGAGCTAGAAACATCGAGCAGCTGCCTCTTGCACAACCCCTCCTAGGGATGTGCCCACAACCAATGCACATGCCCCTGACCGGAATCAAACCTGGGACCCTTCAGTCCACAGACTGACGCTCTATCCACTGAGCCAAACCGGTTTCGGCTAATTTTTTAAATTTTGATCTGCCTCCCCTACTGGACCTCGAGTCTCATGAGCAGTCATATACTCCTGTGCGTGGAGCTGAGCTCATGCTTGGCTTCTAGAGGAGGCACAATACAGAGATAGTACATTTTCAAACTGAAGATACCCTGGACAGCAAAGGGCAGCATATCACTGGCGGGAAAGACAGGTTTTCACTGGCTACAGTACTTCAGGAGGTTTTTCATTACATAGACCCTCTTAACTATGAATTAGAAAACAGAGGCCTGCTAATCTGGCCATCCCTCATGTCCAGTGTCCTGCCAAATTGGAGCACTGTATTAAAGAGTGGTCAGGAAATGTGGGAAGGGCCTTAAGCAATAAGGCTCGGGTTTTTATTAAAACCCCTATCTTCACACCCAAAGCCCAAGAAGCATTCACTTTAGAAGAACTGGCCACTCCTTGCCCACTGCTATAAAATATTTTTTTAAAAATATATATTTTATTGATTTTTTACAGAGAGGAAGAGAGAGGGATAGAGAGTTAGAAACATTGATGAGAAAAAAACATCGATCAGCTGCCTCCTGCACACCCCCTACTGGGGATGTGCCCTTGACCAGAATCGAACCCGGGACCTTTCAGTCCGCAGGCCGATGCTCTAAACCACATGTGTCAAACACAAGGCCCGTGGGCCAAATCCATCCCGCCAGGCCTTGCAATGTGGCCCGCACCTCGCTGTCATCACTGCACTCCACTGCGTTTCCATCACAATGACAGTTTATGACTGTTCAATAAACCATTCAGCCCGCAATTTAGGCTGGATTTTAGATTTTGGCCCCTTCTCTGATTGAGTTCGACACCCCTACTCTAAACACTGAGCAAAACCGGTTTTGGCTGCTATAAAATTTTGATGGGAGATTTTTCCAATCTGTTTAGTACAGAAAAGGGGAAGCCAACTCTCCTGTGCCTGAAGGAAGTTGAAAAGATGAATGTTCTACTAAACGATGGTGTTGCTATATCTCAATCTTAGAGGCTAACTTCCCAACTATATGCGCCCCTGCAATCTAACGTAAGGCCTATAAGTGGTTTTCTTACCCCCCAGAGCACAAAGATTGCTTATGTTTAAAATTGCCCTGGCTGCACATCATCCAAGAGGCATCCTCCCTCTCCCCTTAACTACGTAAGAGCCTCAGAGCACATCCCTTCCTTTGCCAGAGGAGCTCATAGCAGAGCAGGTGATTTTATCTCACAGTTCCCAGGTGCTGCTAGAATTCGTTCTTTCAATCCCTCCAGCCCACCCAGGTATGCTTGTTTTTCCATTCTGGGACTTCCGGGTGTACCCTGGCTTCCTGGTCAGGTTTCATAACTGCACTGAGTCTCTCTCTCTAGGATGATTTAAAAAAGCAATTAAATACCCACATTATTCAGCAGCTGCTAGGGACCAAACCGTGTAGCAAGCTCTATTCCCATAAGACTAGCAGCATCACTGCAAATTGCACAGAGAGGAATTCCCAGCACAGATCTGTCTTAATTCCTAGATGACACGGGATGAAACTGAAGATAAAAAAGATGTTACTGACTCCAAATCACAGAGACTTGTTAAATTGTAGTGGCAGGGCCACATTCAAACCCAAGTTTTTGTATACCAAAACTGTAGCTTCTGTAGCCAAAATCTAAATTTTCTTAAGAAAAGCACAGATGTGAGGATCCTTACAAATCTCCGACTTTAAGAATAGATCTTTTCTTTCTCTTTACTTTCTCGCTAGAGCCTGTATTTTCTTTTTCTTTTAAATATTTTATTGATTTTTACATCCTTGTATCTCCAGTGTCCACTAGTAGTTCTGGCTCATAGCAGGTGCCCAATAAGCCAAACAAACGATTGAATGGTTATTGAGGATAGGGTGAGTCATTACAATGACTCCTAGAGAGACTTTTGACCACTCCAGGAAAAAGGATACTCTGAGCTGGCGAGCCACAGGGAATATGTGGGGAGCAGTGGGAGCATGAGAAGAAAACGTGGTTCATTATAAAGCCCTGTGTCATGTCTTATTGTCGCACTAGTCCTTACACAGAGCCGACATTTACATTTATCTGGTCCTCGGGCAGGTTTCCTTTCATTCTATAATTTCAGCTCCATCTGAAGCACCACCATCACTCTTGATTAAGTGGACACAATTCCACAGAAACATACCTGGCTTCAGTTTTAAATTAGACATTATTTTACTTGGGTAATTGAACCCATTCAAATCTGTTAACAGTAGGATGCTTATGGCCCTTTTGTGCAGTCATTTCCTCTCCCCCTTCCTGGAATCCTGGAAAGGATTCCTAACAGTGGGTAATTGATGATAATAATAATAATAATAATAATAACAAAATTAGCTTTGTTTATCAACATAATGGCCCTCTTCACGTTCACATTTATAGAACTGCCAAGCTGAAAGGAAGAATACTGATTAGCTCTGCTTCCCCTAGAGTAGGGGTATCGAACTCAATCAGAGAAGGGGCCAAAATCTAAAATCCAGCCTAAATCGCGGGCCGAATGGTTTACTGAACAGTCATAAACTGTCATTGTGATGGAAACGCAGCGGAGTGCAGTGATGACAGCGCGGTGCGGGCCACATTGCAAGGCCTGGCGGGCGGGACGGATTTGGCCCGCGGGCCTTGTGTTTGACACATGTGCCCTAGAGAGTCAAGTTGGGTCAGGGCAAGTCAGAACTAGGACTCACAGACCCTGGCTTCCAGTGATGAGCCCCTTTCCTGCTGCTGCCTGCCTGCACTCCAGCGCACCCCTCTCTGCTTCTCTGTGCAATCAGGGCTCTCTCTGGACAGCTCTAAATCATCTGCATTAGGAGGAGAGGAATGAGCAGGCACGACCTGGGTGATTCCCCCCCACCCCCGCCCCCGGCCCCGCCCTAAAGCCCTATTCTCAATGGTGCTGACTTTAAGGTACTGTTCCGTTAACCGAGGGCCCACGAGCACGGCGCCCCGCTGAAAATGTGCCATACACAGAGTTGCGCAGCTGACGGGCCTGCGTGGCGGGCAGGGAAGGCGCTGTTGGTTACTAGCCCGCCCCCGAATAAGTGAGGTATCCTCTGAAAGGCACTCAGGGAGCACCTACTGTGTGCCTAATGAAGAGCTGAGCGGCTGCCTTCTACCCCTTCACAGGCCCCAAGAGCCCTGCGAACCGGCGGACACCGGGGGATGGGGGGGAGTTCTGATGCTCATCTCGGGTCTGGCCTTGAACTTGTGTCCAGGTATTTTAAATTCTTCAACAAGGTGCCCTGAGTCCTCAGAAGTAAAAATAAAATAATAATAATAATAATAATAATAATAATAGGCTTTTCAAAACGGAAAGGTAATTTTCTTGTGAGCCGCTCAACAGGCTCCCTGTTCTGGGAGCCTCAAACCTCCTTAACCCCGACCCCTCCCCAAACCCCCCAATCCCCGGGGTCCAGGCTGCGGACCGCCGGCCCAGCGGAGCAGGGCGCTGGGGCCGAGGGGCGCCTGTCTCTTTAAGAGCCCCAGAGGCGGCGGTGATTGGCTGTCGCTATGCAGGGCTCTCCTCCCGCTCCCTCCGAGAGCCGCCTCCCCCGCCGCCCTCCGCGCGCCCCCTCCCGCCCCTGCGCGCCCCTCGGCCGCGCAGCCGAGTTCAGCCCCGGCGGCCGCAGCATGGCTGAGGCACCGGCAACAGATGCCGGGCTTTCAGGTTCGCATCCTTAGGCCCCGCTGAGCGCCCCAAGGAGAGAGAGAAGGACCCGGAGAAGGACCGTCCGGGAAGGCGGGGACGGAGGTGTGGAGATCCCCCCCCCAATAAGGCAGGAGCCCCCGCCCCCCACCGGAGCGATCCCCGCCCTCAGAGCTCCGCCGCCTGCAGCCCCGTCGCCGGCGCCCACCTCTCTCCAGCCATGCCGGGCCGGGCCGCCGATCGGGGCCAGGTCCCCTTGTGCAGCGCCGCCGCCGCGGAGGAGGAGAGCCGCGCGGGGGCCGAGGGCTCGGCGGGCGGCGGCGGCGGCGGCGCTCCGGAGCGGCAGACCATCGTGTGGCGGAACGTCGTCCTGATGAGCCTGCTCCACCTGGCCGCCGCGTACTCCCTGGTGCTGATCCCCAAAGCCCAGCCGCTCACCCTGCTCTGGGGTAAGTCCCGCGGACGCCCCCGCTCCCCGCTCCCCGCGGGCGGCGGTGGCGAGGCCGCGCCGGGGCGCGCGGGGGCGCGGGTCCGCTGCTGCCCGGGGTGCGGAGCCCTCTCCGCTCTCCTTCGCCGGCCCTGGGCGCCCCGGGCCCCGGGGCCTGCAGTTGCCCGTCCCGGTCCTTCTGCTCAGGTATTTCCAACTTCTGCCTCCCCGGCGGTCCTCCCGAGTGGGCGCATCGCTCCGCTCCCCGCAGGAGAGCGCGAGGGGCCCGGAGAGGCGCGCGCGGGGAGACGGGGCACCCGCCGAACTCCGCTCTGAGCACTGGACGGAGGACAGGCGGCCCGGAGGTGTCCTCCGAGCGGGTCCCAGGGGCTCTCCTATCTGCCGCCTTCCGGCTCCTCCGTGTCCTGCGCTGGCCGCGGACCTCGGGGCCGAGTTACGGATAAGAAAGAAAGTGGAGGAGGGGTGGTGGTGGAGAGATCTGACCCAGGGACAGTCTCGATTGCGCGCAAGAGATGGATGAAACCAGCCTTCCTCCTCGCCTCTGCAAGGTCGGCCCCTCTTCCCTGCCTCCTCCGTGATGATCTTCTCTGCCCATCGCACTTCTGCGGCCCCAGAAGTTTCTTGGTGAACACAGGGAGCTCACGTGGAGAGAGCCCTGCTCCCAGGACTAAGCTCGGATGGTGGCCACGCGGAGACCCCTCCAGGCCCGGAACCCCTCGGATCCGTGCGGGCAGGTCTATTCGCACACCTGTGGCTCTCCCGCCGCCTCCTTCTTAGCACCTGCCGGCTGCAGCGGCGAGGGAGCACAGGAGTTCAAACTCCCCCCCTCCCCCCACACACACACAACTCCTCTCCCTTCTCTGGGCCCCAGGTGCTCTGCCTGCCCTATGTGATTCCAGGCGCTGACTATGAATCACCTGAAAGACCCCCAGCACCGACCGGTGTGGGCCATCCCTCGCCAGTAGTCGGGGACTAAGTGCGCAGGTACTGACTTCCTGGGCCGAGAACACAGACCAAGTACTCCAAGGAGTGCTTCCAGCTTCGTTTTTTTGAGATCATCAAGGAACAGGGGCAGGAGAAATAACAACCTACTTTTATTTCCAGAGGGGAAGAGGAAGGAAGAAATAAGACCTCTTTCTGCAAAGCTGCTTATTTGACACAGTGCCAGCTTCAGTGCTAGGTGGATAATGATTTCCTTGAAATCCTGTAGACCCTGGGTACTAGGGGGTATGGCTGAGAGGGGATGCAGAGTCGAAAAATGGTGAGAGGGGTGTGTGTTTTGGGGAATCATGAAGACTTTTAAAGTCCCCTGAAAGCTTTGGGCAACCCCCTGCTCAGCCCTCCTCACTTCTGTGTCCTTTTCACCAGGGTCTTTGTTTTGCTTTGGTTTGATTTTGGTCTGTCTTCCATCTTCTCTCCAAATGACTAAACTGTAAGATGTCCAGCCATGAATTCGGGAACACACTTCTACCTGCCAGCCAAAGCCCTCAGTGCCCCAGAGCCCCCATGGTGCCCTCCCCTCCCCCTCCAGGGGCAGCACTGTTGGACTTCAGAGGCCCATTTGCCTGGAGGAGAGGTTGGGGCTTAGCCTAATAGCTGATATGTCAGAGAGAGCTCGGGGCAACGTGAGCACTTAAAATATTACCTTACATGCCTGGGGCTCCACGCTGTGCAGCCCCTGAACCCCGGTGACTCTGGCATTCCACCAGGAGCCACAGGCTAAGGCCTGTTCTTCACGCTTGCTAAGTTCTCTCTGCCCTGTCCAGGCCGCGCTCTGCGGTGAAGGCAGAATCTTTGTTTTGAAAGACCTTGGCCAGAGGACACCACCCCTTGGCCCCAAATTCCTCCAGGTTCCTGGGAGAAGTAAACACACTGAATCTGGTTTCCTCCTTGTGGGGATGTAGCCAAAGCCCATCCTTGTACCTCCCTGCATAGTCTTTAGCCACTTTTCATCAGTTCCATTTTCTCCCCCCCCCCCCCCTCTCTCTCTCTCTCTCTCTCTCTCTCTCTTTTAATGTTTTTATATTGATTTCAGAGAGAGGAAGGGAGAGGGAGAGAGAGAGAGAGAGAAACATCAGTGATGAGAGCGACTCATTGATCAGCTGCCTCTTGCTTGCTCCCCACTGGGGATCGAGCCTGCAACCCAAGCTGGTGCCCTGATGGGGAATCAAATGGTGACCTCCTGGTTCATAGGTTGATGCTCCACCACTGAGCCACACCGTCCTGGCTCCATTCTCTTGATTTGATTTTCTCCCTCCCTGGGCTTCAGTGCATCCTTAAGAAAAGAAAGAAAAAGAGCAGGCAATGGTGGGTGCCATAGTTCTTAGTTTCAAAATTGTGACTTAGGAACATTCCAAACAAAGGAATCTTATATCTGATGGGTGTCTCGTGAGAGAAGAAATGAGGGACAAAGACGTGCTAAGATCGGCTGTGCTGTGGCTGGGGTATTAGGGCAACTGGAAGGCCAGAGCCACCATCCACTCAAGCTTATTTTCAGAGTAAGCTCTGTTTCCTTGACCCACAAACTCTCCCTAACCCCTGCCCCCACACTGCACTCTCTTTTACCCCCTCCTTACTGGCTTTATCTAGTTTTTGGGCTGAATTCATGCACCCCAGTAGGGCTGTTGATCCACGTCAGGGACCTAAGTTGAGGAAACAGGCTGGGCCCGTCCACTGCTTGCCGCCTCCCCAGCCCAGGTGAGGTTGCCCTGGCAACAGGAGGCATCCATGCAGGGCATCCAGCAGAGGACGTTAGGTGCTCAGTGTGTGGAGAGTAATCTGCGTGGTGGTAAAATGTCATCCATGAGAGATCCATCAGGTTGTTCAGTCCAACCTCCTCCCGTGCCTAACCCCCACCTTTCCATGGCTGTTCCTGGGGCTAGAGCAAGTTACTTTCCTTATGGCCACGGTGTTCTGAGTGGGCAAGCTTAGAACAGAATGCTCCTGGTGCCCACAGGTCGTGAAGGGCGAGTTTATGAGCTTCAAGAACAGATCGCAAACTTCCGTTGGAGGAAAATTTTAACCTGAAGGCTTGAGCTCACAAGAGTGCCTGCTTTGAGGGTTTTGGCCCCAGGAGCAGCTGGTACTGGGCCCTGAGTCCCAAGAGGAGCAGAATCGGGGGAGTAAGGAGCAGCAGTCACGGTATCAAAACAGACTTCCTGGGACTCCTTCCCAGGGAGGTTCGTCCCGACTTGTGTCTAGGTCTTCTGGTTCTTGGTTTCCAGAAATGGCAGGGGCTTTTCTGCTTTCTCTGGAAATGTCACCCAAGTCCTGATGACGGTGTATAGGCTGTGTCTCATGGTGACCTCATGGGTTTTGTCCCTTCAAAGGACAGTACCAGGCATGCACAACAGTGATTTGCCCTCTTCTTTCATGCTGCCCAGGGCAAACTCGGCCATTATTAGGCCAATATAGGATTCTCTGTCATCCCTGGTGTTGGAGCAGCTGGCCAATCCTGAGTGGGACTCAGCCTGTGGGGTGGAAGCTAGAGGCAGCAGGGATTAACAAAGCAGTCTGGGGCCAGGGAGGTCAGGAGAGGCTGGGTTTGGAAAGTGCTGGCCCATCCGCCAAATTCTGGCCAATAGTGCAAGTTGCCCAAAGTTGAACTGTCTTTTGTCAGGCATTGGGTAACCTGCACCCGTCACCCAGATGTCTGCTGGGTTGTGCTACTTTTCCTGCCAAGTCCCTAAGGTTGTTGAGGAGACCAAGTGTGCTGCGCCCAAGGGTTTGGCCAGCCTGAGAGGGGTCGACGAAGGATGGAGAAAAAAGACAAGAGAAAAAGCTGGGTCTAGGTGGATCTTCTGTGCCTGGCTGAGGCCTCAGAACAGATCCAGACTGCAAAGCTGATGCTTTATTGATAGTCAGGGACAAACAAGGTGATTTACAATGTTCTTGTAAGTTTTACTTGTTTTGGCAGCACTTGCTGCCCCTTCCACAGCCCACTAGCTACCCAGGAAAGATCTGGGGAGCAGTCACAAGATCAAGCTTAATTATGCTTAGAGGACTGTGCCCTCCAAGCTGGGACTTGTTTGCGACTTTGCCAGCAGGTCAGTCTGAGGCTTAACCCTTTAACTGCTTACTACAACCAAGAATGTGTGGTCTTTGCAGTGACGTGTCATGTTTCTATGGAAGTGCCCTGGGACTGTGGCATCAGAGGGTGTGAGTTCCAAGCCCAGCCCCCCCAAATTCAGCCTTCAGCAGAAAACTCTTCCCCCTGAGCCTCAGCGCCCCCGACTGCACTGTGAGGGCAATAATAGTACAGCCAGCAGCTGGAGGGAAATGAAGGAATCCAGGACAGCAGTTGGTCAGGATGCCGGATAGAGTCTTTGTTAGCTGTCGCGTCTCAGTCCCAGGTGCCCTCGGTGCTCCTTTCCTGCCTTCTCGCATCTATCTCATCATCCTTTGAAGGCTGATGTTTGTTCCAGGTTGCTCCCTGGTCATCAGAAAGCCCTGGCCAGGGCTAACAGTAGTTTGTCTCTGGTTTATTTCTCCTGGAAATGGATTGGTGGCCACAACAGCAGCTGTCCTCCCTCATAAATGCCTGTTGTTTGTTCATTTTGTGTGTGAACATGCAGCCACATTCATTCATCCACAATCCATTCATTTCTCCCATTTCAATTCACTCATTTCTCCCATTTCAATTCATTCATTTCTCCCATTTCATTCATTTATTTCTCCCAATTTCTCCCATTTCAATGATTGTCAAAAGTGGCCGCAAAGCAGTTTCACTTGGGGAGCCTTTAACATTTTAGGAAGCCTTGGTCCCATCGGGAGGTACTGAATTGGAGTCTCTAGGAGTGATGCTCTGGCTTTAAAAAAAAAATTTTTTTTTTAAGCCATTAAAGTATTTCTGATGCACAGCTGGGTAAGAATCGTGATTTAATGTTTTTGTTCAGTAATACTTATTACTCACCCATTACCTGCTGGGCACTGGCACCGTCCCTGACTCCGTGGCACTCGGGCCAGTTAGAGAGACAGACAGATGCACAGGTGGAACCTGCC